GTTGTGTGTTGGTGTATCACCGTTTCACGTGTGCCGTCGGAGTTGTGGCGCATAAGCAACTCTCGGGTGTTTACTGGAATCATCGTGAAATTTGAAATTACTTTCGTAGTCGTAGAATTTCTGTTGACATCGCCGATGGTTTAAATGGCGCGAATTATTCGGAGTTTTGGATAAATGGAAATATGTGGGAAAAAGAAGTTGTATGTATATACGGTATGTGTTGTTTGACAAGTAGTCAGTGAAGGTTGATTGAGTGAGTGTAGCAGTATTGGAAACTCATGACACATGTCATCGCGGTTGGCGAGGAAGATCTCAACGAGGAGCTCACACGAATGATCGCTTCTAATAGAGATGATTGCGTGGGTCGTCGTGGCCTCCACACACAAGCTCGATATCGAGAGTTCTTATCAGGCTGGAGTGGATCGTCACCGAGACCCCTTCCTCACTGAGAGGTACATCACAGTCGAGGAAGCTGATCGGCTGATGGAGTGTCCAACTCGTGGGGAAGCAGTAGAAGTAGGATCTTGCGAAACTGTGTACATGAATACTTCTATCTAGAAATGAGGATAGTCTATGAATGATAATATAAAGTATTATAAATGGTTCTTAGTGTATTGGAGTTTCTGTGAAAAACGCGATATTCGCGGCGCTATGCAGTAGTCGTGAAATATAATTTTCATATCACTAGGGTGAAACTCCAATGTACTATCCTCCGTAAAGTAGAGGGCATCAAGTAGAGAGAGTCGACTTCTTCTCATCGTTAAAGTATATGGTGTATTCAGCACAGCTCGAGAGTTGCGATTGAGGTGGTAGTAGTACAGTACTACTAGTACTTAGTGTTGAAATATATGTTCGCTGTCCTCAGCTGAGCTCAGAAGCTTTTCCACTATGCCATGATAGTTTTCACACGAATTCGAGTAGATGGGTGCAGAAACCCTCGAGAATTTCTCAAAACTCCCTCCAAATTTTCATCTTGTCATCCTCCAACACATGTAGTTGACCATGTGCATATTTCTCCCACACTGGTAACACTAGAGTACACTTCGGAGTATCCCTCGGACAGAATCCACCTTAGTTCGTGAAGAAAAATACCAAGCTTCTCACGGACCTCCGCACCTCTCGAGACATCGAACATACTGATGCGACATCTGCAGGGGTACTAAACTTCGCTAGTAATAAGGAGTTACCCCCCTCAGACGGCAGCATCATCGCTATGGCCAGAGACGGGCTCTAGTGAGGACCGACGCTTGGCTTGTATGATTGACTTGTACCTCATGTTTGCAAGGTGAGTGAGGAGTGGTAGGCGAACTAATGCCGGAAATTCGACTTGTAAACTTGCGTTACCGAATTCATAAATTTCATTTACGAAATTGACATTTTATCTCCGAATTCTACGAAAAACTAATCCTATTTATTAATTTGTCTCCTATTTTGCTGAATTGTAGTAACGCATGAGTGTTCATATGAGGTCACAAATATTAGCGATCGTATCACTAGGAAGGCCCTCTTGGTAGGTTCTGTCAGGAGAAGGGTTTGACTAGTTCGAAAGTCTCGACCCTATTATCCATCATAAAGGAGGTCTACTCACAGGTCGGTGCCTTACTCCTCAAATTCGTGATGTCCAGGGCTTTGGGCTCCTCCCACGCGCGGGACCAGAGGATTGAACTAGCGAGCAAAGCCTTCGACCGCATCTATAGGCTACTCAGCGATTACTGATGCGATAACAACCAAACCGGATCCGTAATGGGAAAAAAGATAACAGTATGGAAATAGGAGTTTGCTCTACACTAGCGACGACACTCCTTGGGGCGATGTTGAGACTCCAACGTTGCACTGGTGAATTAGATTTGCGTCTATCGTTACGGTGAATGTCACCGATCTATTGTTCATGTAGGTATTGTGATGTAGTAGCCATTCTCAGGCCATTCTGCATCGTATGGACGTCTCTACGGCGTTCTCCTTGTTCGGAAGGCTAATGGTCAGGCATTCAGTGCAGAGACCACACTTTAGTATCAAGGTAGTGGGTGTATGTCGAGACCCTGCTGTTGCTGCTGTCTCGGCATTAGGTCTTCACGTTGGAGGAGGTTAAGAGTATCACTCAATTCGCAGTGAAGACCTTCTTTGCGCACTTTCTGCTGTACATGTGAGTGTTCGTGGTGACTTGATCTTGGAAGGTCATCGGCCCTATAGGTACATGGGCATGCCTCAACGCCAACTCGTGGTTCGTGGTTTCCCCTCTGAAGTTGGGAAAACTTCCGTTACTCACGAGGAGTTTCTGAAGCAACAAGAATGCTATGATGTGGGTTAAGGCGCTCCTAGATGTTGATATTGGAATATGCGGTCATCCGGATTCAGTTTGCTGAAGAACAGAAACCAACAGTTAGAGAGTTGCCCAATAGAGTCAAGGATGCTATTGAATTGTAAGTTAATTTTGTGACGTAACGTCAGCCTGGAAGGTCTCTGGCGGGGACGAGATTTGCTGGTGGAGTGGTATGGTGGTGGTCTTTGAATTTGACCGGGGGGAACTTAACTGGTATTTTCTCGTTGTGTAATTGTTAGATATGCGAAGGAGATTATGAACAAGTTTGATCGTAAGATGGATGAACAGGAGACACGATTGAACCCATGAAATCGACGTGAACCAATGTCTTTTCCATAACAGTTTGGAGTGGGGGTTTACCCGGGGCTTGTGCGGAAGTATGTTAGTCGGGATCTACCCTTGTGCGTGCGTGCGTGCACAGATTTTGCCCCTCACACTGGTGCAAAGTTAGATTTTGTGATGGCAATTTGTTGTTCATATAGTGTATAGGGAGCAGTGGCTTGAATCTCACAGCTTGAGGATCTACTGTGGGAAAATATGGACATGGTTAACTTCATGTGTTGCTGACAATACGAAAATTTTGAGAAAATTTGGGAAAATTTTGATTGGTTTCTGAACACCTCTACCAGAATTCGTGTGTAAACTTCTTCGAATAGTTAGGAAATTCCTAAGCTCAGCTGAGGGAAGCGATCATAAAATCTAATAATGTGAAGACCTGGACTAGATCTTCGAGGTGTTGGAGGCGAGAGACACGAGGCAATTCTCGGTCGCTGATGCTACACGCAATCACGCATTATTCACGCGTGGTGAAGTGACGTACATAACAGCGTGGAGGGGTAGTCTTGAAGTCCTTCCTATGGTTTGGGGTGGAAGCCCGAAGCCTACCGTAAGGGCCTTGTTTCTTACGAATATGATAACATCGATCGTTTCGATGGGGCACATGGATCAGCGTGGATGAATCAATGACATACGATATCGATAGTGGCTCCATTGTAGACGGAACACTGATTCGGTAGTGATTAGACAGAGCTTTATTGCTGCTGTAATGTTTCTCTATTCCATCATAAAATAGGGAAACATTACAAAATGAATACATTACATTATGAAATTTTCATGTCATTCGTCCGATCACTCTATGTTGTGCGCCGCGCATCGCACGCTACTATGTGTATGCGTGCACAGTTGCGCTGCGTACAATCCGTGCATTTAGTTGGTTAAATCGTCTTTTCCTACTTGATATCTGCTCACGAGTCGATTCATCAGTCACAGGAGGGAGACGGATCCCAATGAGTAGATAACCATGCCATTAGAACTGAGGAGACTCCAACTTGAGATAATGGATAGGGCATTTTCATATCTTCCCTGCATATGGTAAGGAACACCTCTGAAGAGCCAGTGAGCGAGTTGATCGAGACCAACATCCCGGAACGAGCGAAGAATTTAGACGCCAGTCAGTCGGTGGGAAACTGCGCTGTGTGTGAGGTTGCAATACTCTTCTATTAGAAGCCTTCTCATGAGCAGTTCATGGAGGCTGCAGTACTCAGCGCTACGACTGGTAGGAGCTCGAAGTGGCGGCGTGTTATGATGATTATTATTCAGGGGTGAAGCTGAAAGAAGGAGGGCCTTTCGGTGCTTGCATCACCCGCAATGACGTTGTTGTTTGTTGCGCTCACAACACATTTTTTTCGGACCGTGATCCAACTTGTCACGCTGAGGTAAGCCTCAGAGTTGCAGACAGGATCAGCGTACTTGCCTAGATGAATGCTATCCGTATGGCTATGCATCTGCTGAAGACTGATGATCTCGCTGGTTGCGTCATCTATTCATCCTTTGAGCCCTGCCCTATGTGCTGGGGTGCAATACTAGCAAGTGGAATAAGGTTACTTTATGTCGGCTTGGACCGTCATACTGCAGCTAAGAACGGTGTGGAATATCTGAGCTTTTATGATGTCATTCTTGACACTAAGGAGAGCATTTCTCCAATGATGCACATCAACCCACCAGCATCTGACAGTGATGAGAAAATCATTTCTATGGTGAGTTCATGGGTGAGAGAGTGCCTTATGTGCTTTTCAGCTTACTTCTCCTGAGCATTGCATAATTGTCAACAAGGATAGCAAGATTATAGCTGATAGTAATACACCTTCCATCGAGTCGTTCACGGATTCTGTAGACACTCCAATGGTTAAGACTATTCGTCTGGCTTGTAGAGCGATCAATTCGCCCTACCTCCAAGGCTGCAAAATGTGAGGTTAATTGGAAATGATCGGATACGTGGAGTGTTGTTAGTTTCACCTTGGAAGAACCAGATGTCGAGTCGCATGCTGCCTGTCTATGGGCGCTCGTTGATTCCCTTCACTACTGTTCTGAGGCCCTACCTGGTTCGAGGTGAGCAACTGGTAGGACTAATGGAGGATCACATAGAGATTGCTGCCTTCGCTCAGGGCTCGTTATCAACGTGATCAATATGAACTGGAGCCGTCGAATAGGGACATTCGTGTCGTGTATGGATGTGGTGTAGATACATGCCTTAGCATTATACCAGTATGGTTTCAAAGTGAGCTCCATAAGGAGTATCCTCAGCTCAAGGCATGTTGAAGAGTTGTACCTTATTACTATTATACCGTTCTTGAATCCTATTAGTTTTTAAGAATCACATTAGCCACATTAGCGTATAGATAGAACTCATACTGAGAGTTTCACACAGTGTATGAGAAATTATTTCCTGACCTATTTGATACAACGCGTATAACGATTATCGACCATTTGTAATGTCAGCCAATGAGTCAAACGACTGACTAATTGTGGGGGTAGAGAGCTGATCACCGTCGTTGTTCAGTTGTATGGATAGACATCATTTTCTTGAATATGTGCAGGAGCTCTCCACGAGCCTATTAGTGGTAGTAGCCGTGTACACGGTATCGTTGGAGGTGTTGCGTTATTCCCGACTGGGATTACTAATTATTAGGAATAAAATGATAAGTAGTAGTTCCGAGGACAACGAAGATATCAACGATACCAAGTGGTAATGTGGAAGAAGCATCTGTGCAGCGAACCTTCCCCAGTCACGAAATGTAGGCCAGCTTCGAACAACGTTCAACGCTTCCTGTGCACACTTCAATTCCTCGTGTATAATCTTTTCTTCACCATTACTGTTCATGGACATTGGCTTATCGATAATATTGGGTTTGAGAGGCTGGTGAATATTAGTCGTAAAATACAACAGCGCCATACTAAGATATGGTGAGACTCTGGTTGTTTCGATCAATGATTATCATACACAAAAGATTATTCGACTACAGCACTATCTCGTGAGGAACCTGCTCCTACCACATTGTTGAAGCAGTTTATATCATCGACATCATGATAACAACTCTAAACCAATTACTCCACCTGCTTACGGAAATTTTTTAAACTTTAAAAAGGACAAGTACATCATCAAATACCGATTGAAATATCCGTTGGAACTTGAAGCATAACCAGGACAGGCTCGATGACTAATGATTCTCCAAATCAAAGATTCGTAGTACACGATAACTGATGCAACCTAGATCGGCTAATCACCCCTCAACTCCTACCCTCAATTGCCCAGTCGCTGATATATACTCGACGAATACAGCAACACAACATTGAACTTCATTATTGAGAATCAAAAAGCACACATCATACTTTAGACTTAATGGCGGAGACTATCTGCACATCTGAGGTGCAAACGAACACGGAGACCACAGGCACTTAAAACTATGACGAGTGAGACTCGAACGAATTGATAAGTCACATGAGCCTAACAGGGAATGTCAGCATTGGAACCGATCTCGCCGAGGTTGTGACATTTATGGTCATCACCACAATAGCTGAAGATGCAGTCGGGACGCTCATCGCAGACAATTTGACAGTGGTCACCACTACCACGTAGGAGCTTCTCGGCGATAACAAAGGCGGAACTGGAGGCCTGGATGGAGTGGGCGAGGAGACTGATGATGGTAATGACGAGGGTGAAGGACATCATAGTTACTTGGAGATTCGAATAACCGAAGCAACTGCTGAGATCTATCCAATGGCGCAACCGAAGTCTTACAATTAGGTCACCGCACTTTGATAATCATTGGCGTCAGTGAAGCGTTTCATAACTGAACATGCACACATGTAACGGTTGTCTATATGTCACAATGGCGAGCGCTTATAGGAGGACTTTTCAAGAACTCCGGATCGTTCCCAGGTAGAGGTGCATCTCCGCATTAATCGCAGTCCACGTTCGATGGTCGTTGAGACGTGAAAGCCACTCGCCGTAAACCACTTACCCAGTAATTCTTCCCTAGTCACGAAATCTGTACTGGTTTCGGGCTATCTTCAACGCCTCCTGTATACGGCTCCTTTCCTGGTCCACAGTGAGGCACATGCTGTTGATGAAAGAAGGCATATTAATCGTATCAAGATTGATAGAAGGACAGATGAGTACTGGTCACCCAATACAACACCGAGTGATGGCCAAGACGTAATGAATCTTTGGTTACTCCGATCAGAATTTGTAGAATATGATCGAGTATTCGAGTATTGTACTCACTCATGATCGAGCTGGTTATACTGCACCGCTGGATCAGTATACACCCCAACGTGATGGTCTCAACTTCGTACTATCAACTACGAACAAACGTATCGCACAACTCTACCGGATTTTTGTAATTCACAAGAATCCAAGGGGAACGATGTAATTACTTGGAAGTTCACAAATTGTGGAGTGTAGTGTGACCGTAACAAAGAAGTATTTAAGAGAATTGAGGTATAAAGCGTGAGTTGTGCGAAAAATGAAACCAGTACGACGAGGAGTATTACGCGATATCCAATAAGCATATAATTAAATTCCAATGAAGTGAGATATCGCATGATGCCACATTTTCCTCACCTAGAACCGTACGATGCGCATTGCTAATTTCAATAGAGTCTTAATGAGAGATATCTCCCAAGGTATGTATCAATAGTCGTTGATACATTCCCACTGAATAAACACAACATTGAAGTTCATTATTGAGAATCAAAAATCACACATCATACTTTAGACTTAATGGCGGAGACTATCTGCACATCTGAGGTGCAAACGAACTCGGAGACTACAGGTACTTAAAACTATGACGAGTGAGACTCGAACGAGTTGATAAATCACATGAGCCTAACAGGGAATGTCAGCATTGGAACCGATCTCGCCGAGGTTGTGACATTTATGGTCATCACCACAATAGCTGAAGATGCAGTCGGGACGCTCATCGCAGACAATTTGACAGTGGTCACCACTACCACGTAGGAGCTTCTCGGCGATAACAAAGGCGGAACTGGAGGCCTGGATGGAGTGGGCGAGGAGACTGATGATGGTAATGACGAGGGTGAAGGACATCATAGTTACTTGGAGATTCGAATAACCGAAGCAACTGCTTAGATCTATCCAATGGCGCAACCAAAACCGTACAATTAGGTCACCGCACTTTGGTAATCATTGGCGTCAGTGGAGCGTTTCATAAATGAACATGCACACATGTAACGGTTGTCTATATGTCACAATGGCGAGCGCTTATAGGAGGACTTTTCGAGGACTCCGGGTTCGATCCCCGGTAGGGTTACAACTCCGTACTGACTGTATGTCACCTTATGTAGGTCAGGTCACCTTTTCTTTTACTAGTCACGCGATGTCGAGGTTTCGATAAAGTCGAAGAACTAGCGCGCGCCTCGACGTGATTGCGTGACTGTCAGTCTAACCCTCAAATATCCTGTGCAGTTCTTTCTCTCTTCGCACCATGGTTAAACGCAAAGGAGGTAGACGGCAGCAGGCCTTACCGGTCACTGAAGATGGTAAGTCGCTCTAACAGTCACTTGTGTATGTCTATACTCTTCCATGCTGTCCTCTGGCTCAGACCTATCGGATGGTGTCAGTAGTGATGTTGAGGGCCTTGACATGATTGGTGGCGATGGTGAGAGTATACACTTGATTGTTGGCTGTAGGCGTCCTTCAATCAGATGAACGTAATGATTATTCGGACCTTGAGGGCGATGAGGAGGTCGATGTTATGAGCATAGCTAGCGGGGTACACCAAGA